TTAGAAGTTGAACAGCTATGTGTGTGTTCCCTCCCAGTACTCCTCAAGCCTCATAGAGCTCCAAGATATGTCATTTATTTAAACTAGAAAGCACAAAAAACATTTGAGTTATACCAGCACATTAGGAACAAACCTGTAAAGTACAGATTTTAGGGAATATAAGCCAATCACCATCACACTTTCTCAACTCCTTCAAGCCCAAAATATGGTGGTTTAAATGTTTCAATTGAAATTAAAACCCCACAAACAAACACAGAAACCCCCGAAAACCAAACTAAGCCAATCCCCCAAACTTTAAACTAACAGTTTCATTCATGTTCCTCCTAAGCCTCTTCTCAAAGAGCAGCAAAAGGCCAGTTTCTCACTGAACGGGAAGCCATCAGCTGACACACAGGATACCAGCCCTAGAAGAGCGAGACAGAATGGCAGAACCAGCTTGCAGAACCATTCAGGTGGGTCTCTTAGACCCACCAGCCCCTCAAGCACCCACTCTACCAGACACTCCTGTGCATGTCTTGAATCAGTTATCTCACTTGACAAACCCAAAAATTCAGGCACAGAAGATGACTGGCTCAAGCACAGCCTCTCACCCTCATCCTTTTCCCATGCATCATGGATGTGATCCGCATTGCAAACCTAAACCTACAGTCAGCCTTGACTAACAAAGGCAGTGTATGCATAGTCCAGACCTAACCTTTAATTCTGTCAGATTGGCATGATGATAAAATGTAGCTGTATTTGAGACCAAAAGAGCCCCTACTCAGTCACAATCTTGTGAGAAAATAAGGCCAAGGGTTCTGGTTCACAGAGATTAAAAAAAGAAAGTATTAAAATGATGGGAATATTCACTGTTTCCCTGTTTGTGATAATAAAAATGCAGAATTTAAGTAATGTTTTTGTTTCCATATTTCCTTTTTCTTGCTCTTTTGCTGTAGGTGTTTTTTATAAGTAGGAAAAATGGATATGGCAATCACTTATTTTGGAATGAAGGAGAGAATCCAGTAAAGCAAGACAAGGGTATCCTAATCCCAAGAAACACAAGCTCTGCACACACAGCTGTTTCAGCTTGAAAGCCCATTCCCAGTGTATTTCAGGAACAACATGGAGTTAGCTCCTTTTCCACCTTTCAGTTTCAAAACTATAATGCAAACCTACCAAACATACAGACAGAACCAGGAAGAGGATAGGATGAGCCATGGAACTAAACTTGGACTGGAAGTAAATAGTGATCCAGAGCTTCATAGTTCAGCTACCTCTAATTGTGAGGTGCCAAGAGAGAAGTTTTAGAGCCTGCAAGTGCCAAGCTACTAATTTTCATCAGTCCCCAGTGCTGCTGCTGAGATGCAGCCCTGGAGAACTTCCCTGCAGTCTTCCTACCTAGTCTGCCTGTCTTGACAGCTTGAGAAACTGGTCTCTTCATTCTAAACCTCTTAAAATGAGTAGAGACACCCAAGAATGTTTTAAGTGGGGCATTCGATGACTTACACCAAATGTGTATTGTTATTTTCCGAGCAATGAGACAAATTTTCCATTGGCACAAAAATTCTAGGGTAAAAATAAAAGGGAAACAATTTCTTTCCCTAAAACCACATATCAAATATCAACACACACAGTAACACGCAGCTACTCCCATTCCAAAAAATACTAATTTTAACTTCTGATGCTTTTTCTATATCATTATCAGTATCTTTTTCCATGTAGGAAAGCTCTGTGGCACTGCTTCTGTCTTTGGCTGGGATTGCTTTCTTCAGAACGATTCAACACCAAGACTTCACATAACGTTGCTTTTGTAGATAAACTGTTCAAGAGCTGTTTGTTGCTGATTTTTCTCCTTCAGATCAGCTTATACGAACTCCTTCACACTGGAATAAAATAGGGAGCGATGTAGTATTCTTGCATCCAGCAATATGCATCATGCATAGAATGGTGCTTTTGAAGTGGATTTGAATTCCTCCTCTCCTGGCCCCATCCTTATGTTTAATAACAGATAGCTTTCCTGCTATCTGCTCATTACTTTTCTCTGCCAAGAGCGAAAAGCACACAGACCTCAGCATCACTGAAAAACACAGAACACAACAGTAGCCCTGCTTGAGGAAACAAAGACTCTCTTCCCACTTTCATCACATAGGTCAGCTCCAGGTATCCACGATGTACTGCACACTCAATTCCATGCTAAAATTAGGATGGGTTTAGTTTAACTAAAGCACTGCATAAGATGATAAACCAAACTGTATCTACCGTTACTTAACTGTTGTTTCACATCTAATTCTTTCTTTTTTAAATGACAATGGCTAAGGAAATCTCTGACCAGTATTTGACAAAGGCTAACACAGTAGAAAACCCTCTTGTCTTAAAAATTCTATCTGATCAACTATATTCTCTATCAGTGCTAATAAATCGGTCTTAATGGCACCATCTTAGCATCACTGCACTAAAATGCCGCCTGTGTGCCCACTTAAATGAATCTGTTCGATAAAACACCTGCACAAAAACACAACAGAAACTGCCTTTATACAAAGACTGTGCCAAAATATTCTAGTGAAAGTCTTAACACAGTCTTTGTTATAAAGAGAGTCTACATATTTCATCTGTTTACAACTCTCCCATTGGCTGTCAATATCCCATTTGGGATGCATTGTTGAGAACTAGTGTACTTCAGTTCACTTGCATTATTGGCAGAGCACAACTCTTTCCTTTAAGCATTAAAATGCTACTCATCCTAAAGAGAAAACTTAATGACATTAAGCCATGCGAAGAGACTGCAGTGAAAGATATGCACATGACACTTTTGTTTGAGACAGAGGAAGGAATATTGTCTGAAAACACAGGAACCCTGACTTGCTGAATTCAACGAGTCTCATGCAAACCCCGAGAGCAGACAAGGAATTACCAATATTGGAGTCTGCTGGTTACAAACAAGGCAATTTAAAGCAGAGCACATTGTGCTTGCTTTCTTTGCGCATTCAGGTTTGCACAGAAAGGTTATGACCAGTTATTGGCTAAGTAAAAACCTCAGTCTTCTTGCATGCCTGAAACACAATATGAGTTTATTCACGCTTGGAAAAATAGGCAATGACTAGTATCTTTATCAGTCTATCCAACTGCCACAGCTCTAGGCCAAATCTCATGCTCTGAAATGAACATGTACTTATCAACAGAGATGGGTATCTCTTTGGTAAACTTTAGAAAAGGACATTAAATGAAAACAAGCAAGAAGATGTACTCAGTTTAATTAACAGACAGTGCTCTGTACTTTGAGGTCCCTTCACACACTGGTTTATACTACACACTGAAGAATGTCAGTTGAAAGGTATGTTCGGAAGTTAACAATATCTGATTGCCCAGGTGCAAACAGAGTTCCTACCCAGCAGAGTGAACTGGAAAAACATTTGAGCCCCAGGAGAAACATACAAAACAGGTATGTTTGTTGAGCAGCAAAATACAATTTATTAGTTCCTTTGGAGTAAAAGTAAAAAGGAAATTAGCCTTTTTTCTCACAGGAACCAAAACAGACTAGTGTTAGATCCCGCTGTGCTCTTAAGGATTCTGAAGAAGTGAGGAACTGAATCCCACCTACTCTCTGGGAAAAAAAAATATCTCAGCCTATTTCTCTTAAAGGTAATAATAAGAAACAAACAAAAAAAAATCTTGAAAATTACACTAAAGGATAATTGATAACTTTTTATATTAAACCCTAAAGCTCATAGTTAGACCACTGAAATGTCAAAGATCCACTAGATCTTATCTTGCCAAGCTGTAAAACGTACTCTGAAGAAGTTATCTTTTGTCTCTGTCCTCATCATCCTGCAGATCAGTTCCTGATAGATCCTTAGAGACTGCTTCAGGACAGGCAAAAAGCTGCACTACATAAAAACCTCCAGGGATACTAGAGAATTCCTCTGTGGTTAGTGGAGCTCTCACAGAAAAGAATCTCTTAGTGTTTGGCAAGCAAGAGGTTAATAGCCTATAAAAAAAAACACCTCTAACAAAAATGTTATTTCAATTGTATTACATTTAGGAGCCCTGAGGGTCATGGGGTAGATAATCAAAAAGGACAAGGAGGAAATTAAAAAAGGGAAGAAGGCAATCAAAAAGGGCATTTAGAAGGACCCATAATCCTCCATAGGAAGAATACTAATTATACTACTGCATCATCTTATAATTAACCCTGATCTACTTTTTTTTTATTTTAGCTGTAATAACTTCCCCATGTACAATGATTTGATTGCTAATTCTTGCCAGTCTGTCTTGAACAGCTATTTTAGTTTTGGTAGCAACTTTTTACACAGCACTTTAACTCTCCTTTATAAAGGAGACAAAATATTTAGATATTTGAATTAATTAGGCATCAGTCATACCGATAAGCACATTGGTTTCCTTTTATCCTGATAGTGCCATGTGCTACACTCTTTTTTCTTTCCCACAGTTTCTTCTATTTAGGAGTGAAATTAGTCTCCAATACATAAATCAGTGTGTTGCACCCACTTCAGCAGTCAGACTTGGACGTACGTCTTCATGATGACTTCCATCTGTATTTCATATTTCATTTAATAAATGTGGGATATTACTGTAGCCAGCAAACTAAATTCTCAACATACCTTCATTCCATAGCAGACCCCTGCTGGGGCTCACCTACATTCTTGGGCAGCTGGGCACACATTGCTATGACATTTCTAATGATTTACAAACAAGCCTGAGTTTTTGCCAAGCTGCAGAAAATAAGAAAGCCCCTAAAGAAGGTGCTTTCCCCTGGATGAAGGCTAGTCATTTATGTACAAAGCCAAAAGTTATTTCCCAACTAACCTGAGATGTTGACACATGCAATGATTTCATAAGAAAACCTGGCAATGAGAACACATAAAAAGCAGACTCCACAACCAATCTGGAGGAATAAAATGATCCAGAAATAAGGTACGTTGCAGCCTGTTTTCAGAGGCAGACATCTACAGACATCACTTGATTTTTTTTTCCTTGATCTTTTCATTCTAGCCTTACTCTCTGCAGATATAAAAGCAGACATGCTCCCTTCTCAGCTTCAGATGTATGAGTAAGCATACACAACGACAGAAATCACTCCTAACTGAATCTCTGTAGCATGATATGAAGTTATAGCCTTTTATTTTCTATACTTCCTTCATGTACTTGCAAGGCACCTTGCTAATTAGTTTTTAATGGTCACTAGATTCTCAGATAATTAACATTTGGAGGGCATTATTCCCAAGTCAGGGCCAATCGAAGGACGATAGTCTCCAAGGCTCCCTCCATAACATGTGTCATGGGAGGAAGAATGGTTTTTAATATTTTAACAATCACTTTACTACAGAAAGATGGTGCCTGAGGGGTTTGGCTTACACAGCATGGGAAACATCAGCTTCATAGAAATCTGGAGACTATACTGTGTGGTCAGCAGCATGTACTCTCTGGACAAACACATCACTCCTCTGGAGAAAACAGAAGAATAGAAAAGAAAAACCCAACCAAAAGGCAATCTATACAAGTAACACTAATTTCCTTCTGATTAACTAAAGGTATTATTTCCAAAGCAAGACTTTAATTCCGATTTAATGGCAAGCCCCAAACTTTAGTTCTTAAATAACAGAATTTCACCCTCCATCAAGAAATTTTGTCTAGGTAACAGCTTACAGAGAGCAAGGAAAGTCAAGAGTTCTTCCTCTATCAGTTAAGACATCTGCATAGCACACTGGGAAAGAGGAATGCTACCACCCTGTAAAATTAGCTCAAACAGAACATCCCTAAAAAGCGAGTAGGCCTATCTGAAAATCTCAAGCCTTTTTTGTTCCTTTTGAAACCCTACCTCAACCTAAACACACATTCTCAATCAATATTTAATAATACAAAAGCCACACCACCCTGAGGCATTCAATAGCCTCCTATTCCTATTATTTTCAATGTGGTAATATGCAATACAGCCACTGAATTATTTGAAGGGATGGTTGCACTCCTTGGGTAATACTAGAGACTAAACCTGAAGCCAGCTTAAGCTTCTACTGCAGCCTGCACCACCAGACAGCTGAAACTGGAGGTATGAAATTGGAGAGTAATTATTATTTGAAGTATCACCTCCTCCATCTTATTCTGAAACACTGACTGCAAGTATTGTGATTTTGTCACAGGAAATAGCCACGCTTGTGGTTTTTTTCTTAGCTACTTTATCTTACAAGATAGTAATGCAGAGAGCAGTGAAATGAAGCACAGAATCATCTCATTAATGACCTGTCATTCCTCATGCCTTCCTCTTTTCATAATCAAACAAATAATTAAGAGCAAACAGAGTAAACAGCTAACACTTGGAAACATCAGAAAATGGCGAAAATTGTCATCTTGTAAATGAACTTTAGGTCAGCTTTGAATGTTGAACAAGCACAAGCACACCCTGTTATGCCCACCCAAGCTGCGCACTCACGGCATGCAACTAATAATGTTGAAAGTTTTCCTTGTTAAAATGTGAGCAGTCCATTGCCACCTTGCAGCACTCTTTTGCCCTGGATAACTCTAGGCAGTGCCTGCTTAAGCAGCTGTATACTCTGCACTAAGTATCAAGCAATTTGCTGCCTCTATGGCTAAATAGAGCCCTCTCATATTGCCAGAAGCAAGTGAAATATTTTGCTATGACTGACAACAAACTAAATAAAGACTATCACACCTGCTTTCAGCTATTGCTTTTATGAACATAATGAAAATACCTAGAAAAGGCAACCGCCACCAACAGAGACTGCCTGCTATTGTTTGCTATTCTTTTTTAATCACAGCTACCAAACAAGTACCTTCATCATAATGAACAGGTATCACTTCCAGTGACAGAATTCAAAAAATGTAAAAACATTTGGCGATAACTGGAAAATCAGCCCAAGAAACAAAAATGAAAGGACTCATCAGAAATTTTTGTCTTCATATGTATAATAAATCACTTGCTCAATTAAATGGCTACCCCTTACAAAAATAATTAATGCTGCTACTTGTGCTGGGCTGCCCTGCAATGCTACAAGAGCCCAGCAACACAGTTGTGGTAGGAGAATGTTATCTTCTGCCCAGGGACCATTTGTTTCCAAGTCTTGTCCTCCCTCAGCTTCCAAAGCTATGCAGTATATCTATTCTGGTTCAAGGCAAAAGACATTTTCATACTATGCCTCACAGAGTCCGGAATTGTCTGAGAAATAAGCCTAAAGGACTACTCAGCTAAATACAGGCTAAAATTATGCAAGGATATGAAGGAACCTCAAGAATAAAAATCTAAGCATTGAAAGCAGAGGTGGGAGATTTGTAGGCATGTTAACTTCTTGGTTTGCCTCTATCAGAGAATTCATGGAACCCCTTTTCTGTTTTCCTCCCCCAGAACCTCACATGGCTGGATTCACATCTCCAGACACTACTGTCCCTGCCTGTGGCAGGGGGTTGGAACTAGGTGAGCATTAAGGTGCCTTCCAACCCAAATCATTCTGTGATTGCACTGAGACTGTGTACTGATCTTTCCAGATTCTATGGCAGCTCCCTGGTGGTTCTTCTGCAACCTTCAGCATGTACTGAATGCTGATGGCAGCTAGAACCCAGTTCTTCTTTCACTCATTTGATAAATAAGCAGGCTCCCAAACTCCTCCCTGCACAGCATGAAATGAAAAAAGGGAGGCAATGATTTTAACACTTTCACTCAAATAAAGCTGAACAGAATACAGATGAAACATTTCCTTAGATGAGTTTTCTCCCTGCTGAATCCCAAAGGCATTCTGCAAACAATGGGGGTGTTATTCTAAGGAGAATTAAAAAAGAAAAAAAAGCCTGCAAAAATCTAATTTAAAATGTTAGGCATTTTAACCTAAGCATAGGCCCACCCCAGCTGCCTTTGCTTTGTTAATGGCTCTCCAAAGCTAAGCAAGCCTGTTACCTGGATTACTGATAGATTGATAATGGAATTACCCCTGGTATAAAGCTGCTTTGCAATCAAATTTAACTGCTAAGGTTTGCTGGGGTTTTTTAACCACTGAACTACAGTTCACCTACTTTCTGCCCAGCAAACAAACTTTTTCTCAGAATTTCAGTTCACTAAAGGTGTTCAAGGGACAAAAAAACCAGAGAAACCACATAAAATGCTCTTTCCAGCTCGGTGCAAGACTATCAAAGCTTTTTCTTGAGAGCGTTCTGCTTTTCTCTTCTCCAAGCACACTGCAATGCTCACACCAAGACAGACAAAAGGCTGTACAGAAGACACTCTTCTTTCCTGCAAAGACCCCCATCCCTATGCATGAACTTGCAAATACCATCGGGGTAGCACACACTCCAGATGTAGGCCTGTGAAAATGCAGGCTTTGGTACTACAGCTGAAACATTCCTCTCTGTTTAGAAAAGGTTCTGAGCTCACGCAAATGACACTGCAAGACAGAATAGACTACACCAATCCTGTGACACAACTACTCAAACGCTAGGGCATGGGAGAAGGAGGTAGGAAGACAGAAAGATATTAATAGGTGAATATTCCAAAGAATACTAAATGAGATTAGCAAAAAGTGATTGACACTGTGCTTTCTAACTAGGCTTCTCTGTCTATAAGACACTTAAAGTAGGTAAGAGCAGTTGGATATTTAATAAAAATACTCCCATGGGCTTGTACCTCCATGGGCCCTAAACAGGCGAACTTCAGGCAGCCTAAACTTATGATGCAGTTGCCTTGAGAGCAAATGACCACCCATAAACGCTTCCCCCCCCAGCATGCTACCTAGAGCTGATTTAAGTGTTTTTATGCATTTCCAATCTCAGATGATTTTCTTCTGATCCTGCTGTAATTAGCTCATTTGCTTTTGCAGATGCTTTCAGACCCAGCTTCAGTGACTTCCAAGTAGCATAGCTAGACTTGACGAAGAGAGCTACTTAATGTCATCAGGTGTGCTCCTCAGGCACTCTGTTTACAGAAGCAAATCAGTGTGACCTATAAACAGCTGAGACTTACTGAAATTTCTCTGGATAGCAGAAAAAGAAGTTCAGCCACAGAGTCTGTAGTTTGCAAAGTAGACCTTGAGTGAATGATTCCTAGAGAATAATCTTTGCAGCAAATTCTCCTAGTTCTGAATAGGCTTTGACTTTCATGAATTCACTTGCAATTTAAAAGAATTTGACTTTTTCAGAAGAAAAAGCAAATTAGTGAACCATCACCATCACACAGTCAGGATCCGCTCTCACAGGTCACAGCCACATACTTGGCTGTTTAATCAGGAGGGACTGGACCTGTTCCCAGACTGGTTACACTTAGGTTTGTATTTAAAAAGGGACTCTGAAGGACAGAGGCAATGACTGAGGATCCTTGGCTCTTTTTTAGAATAAATATAGTATTGAGTTAACGCTGATACTCATCAGCTGGAATACAGACTTTTACAAAATGACTGAAATTGAAACACTAGAAAAGGCTGAGCCTGTTTTAATACAGGCCAGAGCCTGTTCTAAAGTGAATGTAGAAGAGGGGGCATGAGCTCCTACTTTAAGGGGGCAGCCATCCTCTTCAAGTGTAAACACTTACCTAGCCAAATTTGGGGGGCGAGATACTTGTCTCACCTGAAGATTATCCAACAATCTGGGAGCAAGTCTCAGGCCTGGTTGGACTGCTTACAAAACACACTCCAAATCCTCCTCCCCTTAATGCTCATAGCAAACACAAAACCCACTACAGCCGAGCCTTAGACCAATGTTTGTCAATTGTGTCATGTGACTTCCTCTTCACCAACTTCTCAATCACTTCTCTAATATGGATGAGAATATAAAAAAGTAAAAGTTTTTCAGGGATTTGCCAAAAAACAAAAGAATTCATTTCAACCATCTCTTTCACTGTTCCTCTCTTGCACTACCTAATTAATGGTCCTGAGACAAGCCCAGTTATTCCTCATTTTTTTAAAGCTCTGACAGTGAGCAAGATTAACTCAAGCTACCAGGAAGACAGCCCCCTCAGAGGCAGCAGGATGGAGGTTGAACACCTTTGCCCCCTGAGCTCCAAAATCAACACAGAGAGTCAAGGTTGGGCCCCTTTATCCCACACAGACTTCACCTGAGAGAAGACTACACACCAAATTATCTTGAAGGATCTGTACTAAGCTACTTGGCATTGTGTGTGCTTAGATATAGAAGAGAAATCTCACTATGATGTAATTCTTCACTTGCATGGTCTGTGTTGTCTCTTTGGTTGCCTAATCTCAAGTCATCATCTACTCATCATCTATTTTGTTAGAAGCTAGCCAAGAGACTGTATCTGCAATGACTATCCTATGCAAGAGCCCTTTCTTGCTTTAAAGCAGTCACTTCAAAATGATTTCCACAAATGGTTATATGTATGAGCTTTACAGCATGCTCTGTTGATCGGTTTATGAGATTTTCACATATCTGGGTAAAAAGGAACCAGTAGTCTTATTTTCAAGGCCATGACTCCACCTGACCACCTTCTTTCACTGTTTGTGCCTTCAGTGACACTGCACTGACATTAGGTACGTTTTTCTGAAGGCAGGTGTAATTTATTCCTGAGTGTTCACTACTCATCTACTCATCCAGTCAAAACATAAGAGCTGAAAGTGAAACTGTCTGACAAGAAAGGTTAACATGGAAAAAGAAAGAGAGAAAGAGAGAGCAAACTGATTATTGTCCCCACAGGTTTTTTTTGGGTAGGGGAACACATGAGGTGGTGTAAGTACTCCATTCTGTAGGGCCTATTTTATAAATTACCATTGGGTTTTCGAACAGGGGTCACTAAACTCTGTCCATAATGCTAACCACTTAACTTCCGGCCCCGCTGTCCTGGGTTCAGCAGTAGCAGTCATTTTTCTCCTTCTCAGTAGCTGGTGCAGTGCTCGTTTTTGACTTTCAGCCTGGGAACAACGCTGATAACACCGATGTTTTTAGTTGTTGCTCAGTAAAGTTTACTCTGACCAAGGACCTTCTCAGTCTCATGCTCTGCCAGGGAGGAGGGGAAGCCGGGAGGAAGCAGAGACAGGACACCTGACCCAAACTGACCAAAGAGGTATTCCATACCACAGCACGTCATGCCCAGTACATAAACTGGGGGCAGTTACCCGGAAGGGCTAGATCACTGCTCAGGTCGGGCTGGGTATCGGCTGGCAGGTGGTGAGCAGTTGTATTCTCTTCCCTTGTTATTTCCCTTATCATTATTATTATTGGTGGTAGCAGCAGTGATTTGTGTTATACCTTAGTTACTGGACTGCTCTTATCTCAACCTGTGGGAGTTACATTCTTTCAATTCTCTTCCCCATCCCTCTGGGAGCAGGCAGAAGAAGGCTGGGGGGGGGAAGAGTGAGCAGCTGCATGGTTCTGAGTTACAGGCTGGGCTTAAACCACGACAACTTCCCACTGGAGGTGGAAAGGGCAACACAACGGTAAATTCAAAAGCAAGATAACCTTAGACCAAAAGCAGACTAATAAAATGATACAGCTTCAGGGTCACGTAAAAGTAAAAACTGATCTTAGGCAAGAACTTTGACTGTCTATTTCAAATGCAAAACTCACTGTGTCAAGGCTTACACTTTGGCTGGAAAAGCCACTCATATTCCTTGATGTGAATCAGAGACTGAGAAATCATTAAAGGCAACAGTAACAATACCGATAGGCCTTGTCAAATGCAGCACTGCCTCTGTGAAATGGTTCTCTCTGAGTGAACAGGGGTAAGTAACAGTAATTGCTTTGTTAGATTGCATGCCTGAAATAAAGCCTTTTATACTCACGTGGAGTAAAAGTCAAAACCACGGCAGGAAGACTCAATTTCAGCACAGACTGTAATGAAATAATGCTGGTGGTTCTGCTAGCCAGAAGCTTACTCGGGCCTTTGAAATGGTAATGTCCTTCACTGTATAGCGGAAACTAGTAAATAAAGAATCTTGTTGCACAGAAATTGATATTCTTTGAACATATACATTTATTTTCCCTAACAGCTCTATTTCCAAGTTAGCTCCACTACATCCCTTCAGTCTCCCCTACTCCTATTTTGAAGGCTACCCACAAATGTTTGCTAATCCTATTTGGACTTGACAAGATACTGACTCACAAGGAAGCTTTTTCCTTCCCCATCAAGCACATCTGTTTTCAAAATCTCACTCAAATGTCATCTTCTTGCACATGCAAAGAAGCTTGAGTCATTTGTGTACCTATCGGAATAAGATCATCTGTCACTTCCTCCTTGCCACGCTCTCCTCTTCCAGAAAGCTTTTTTCCTTTCAGATTTAATAGCAGGTGTTGGCAAGATCAGTCCATGGTTAAATCTTGGAAACGATACAGTTTTTTCATCACCGATTCATATCTGAAAGAAACTAGGCCCCCATCAGGCCACCATGATTTTTTCTGGCATTAAATTGAGCAGCATCCTAGACCGTAACATTTACAACTCTTTACCTATGCTCCCCCTGACGCACTACATCGCTTAATGCAACAATCTTTGTACTCTAATACACAGCTTGGCTCTTAGAAACAGAATCATAGAATAGTTAGGGTTGGAAAGGACCTTAAGATCATCTAGTTCCAACCCTCACAACAAAATACCAACAAAATCTCACATAACTCTAAGGACCTGTACTTTCTTTTTTTTCTGTGCAATATCTGCCATACTCCCAGCCTAATTAAAAACAACAAACCCACAACCTTATATTCTACTTGTTGCTTCAAGTGACTCCAAATGTTGTTTAGACTGTGTCACCGTGACTCAGCAAGGTAAATGGTGCTCAGTCAGCTCTAACAAAAAAGGTCAGAACGGTTTGGAATCCAGTCCCAGAGTCAGATTCTGCTCTTAAACCTCTGAGAAACTCTGTTTTTTTTCAGAGACTCCACTTTCTGCAAGCTGGGTGTGAGGGGATGACTGCATTTGAGGATCAAAACCCCATATAAGTCTGCTGGGTAGTTTATGTGATGGTACTGTACTAACCAACATCAGGAATAAAAAGCCTCACAGGTCAGACTAGTTCCATCAGGCCTTCAAACATATTGCTGTGTTTTATAATCCCTCCTCTTCCATTTACTTTTCCAGAGGAAATTATTCTAAGGAGTTCAAAACCCGCTGCAGAGAGCATCTGCATTCACCCATTTTGAGGACAAGCTGGAATGCAGATCGCATTGCATTTGCACAACATTAATGTTCATTACATCTAAACCAAAGTGGGGTTCTAAGTCTGCTCACTTTGTACACCCAAAGCTCTTTCTGTGGAAGTTCCCCAAGTGCTGCCTGAGCAATTCACAGCGGATGGCTCTGCCATAGGCTGCAAACAGGACACATTGCACACAGCTGAGTACCACTGGCATAAGAAAAACCTGTAAGTGTCAAGGGAAAATGCAAGGAAAAATGATATCTCTCCTCTGATCTCCACTTGAATGAAAGACGTGGAGGTTACGCTTCAGATGAAGGAGCTAACTGTACTCAGGAAAGCTTTAATGAAACAGCTGACGGTAAGCTCCTGATAGGGACATTAATCAAAGAGACGTTTTAGAGAGAGGTATAGGCCCATATGTTTATTTACTCACATTCATGAATTTGTTTACTCTGAGAAGGGCGACCACTGGGAAACAGTGTTAGCACGAGATCTCCTATTCATACAAATGCAGATAAACATACAAATGATACAATGCTAGGGTTTTGCTGGGTTGTTTGCTCTGGGTTTTTTTTTTCCTTCTAACCTCCACTAGAGAATCCAGCACTTTCCCTCTTTCTACCTGAAACAGAAACATAAGCTTCAACTCTCAGACAACTACAATGCCTTTAACAGCGTGAGACAACTGGCACCAAGTATTAGTAACAGTGAATCAGAAGTGTTCCTGTTCTGGTCCTGACAGACAGCCTATTCCACTGACTCCTTTTTGCTATCCAGAATGTTCCCTTCTGTTATTTCTGTCTGTTCCCAATCTTGTGATGTGATTAGAGTAGATGATTACGATTACATAACAGTATCAAATTAATTTGCAGCAGAGCACAACAGCAGAGGAAATTGTTTCGAGCTCTGAAATCTCCCCCCCCCCCAGTTTATTTCAGTGACATCAGGGGATTAAGGCAAAATGGGTCAGTAGAACACTGCTGGGAAAACATTCAAAACATCAGTCCTGACCTTGTAAACCAGAGTGAGAGCAATTGCAAACAAAGCAAGCCGTTTACTGTGGGCTCTCTAAAGAGCCATCAAGGTGAATCAACTTCCTAAGCACCTATCCCTGGCTGACAGAGCACGGCAAGGAAAACCATACTGCACAGACTTTCAGGAGAGACAGGCATTTCGGAATACTTTCCAAAATTGTGGAATACAGACTTAACTGGAGTTTTACTTACTGCCAGAGAATGCCTTAATGCCAACAGTAATCAAAGTAATGAGTTCCTGCAACTTTAAATCAAGGTGAGAGGACTGATTAAACCCAACGTATGTATGGGACAAGAAGCCGGACAAACATCTCACTCTGCTGTCATTTAGTAGAGCTCTGGAAGGTTCTCCTCTCACTTCCTGCACAAACAATATCCTGCTGCTGGGATGTTAGAGGGTTATAGCCACATCACTTCTAGCATTCAAGACAGTCTTCTGACTGGTGTCTGTGACTAGCAGATTTATATTGATTGTTGGCTTGATACAGGAAAGCAACCATTAAGCAGGTTTACCACACTGCACAGCTGGCACAGCTGGTTTGTGATCACTGCTAACTGTTTATGTACAATGCACCCCCAAAATATTTACCTTCCCTTTGGAAAAACAGATGCTTCTTCAACAGCCACTCCTTAAAGATAGCTGGATAAATAAAATCTGGGCCTGGGTCCAACTTCTCAGAAATATCCAAATGACTTCTGCTATCTGTCTTCTCATCCCTCCAATGCAGACACCTACTTTCCATCCTAAATATTTTAATGGAAATACATTAACATAATTTCTTCTGGCTTAAAACCAGCTTCAGTTTTACACCTTGACATGCTGTAGCAGAAACCTTTGTGCTTTGCCAGCTCCGTAAACTGAGGTAAGCACAATAACTAGGAGTGGTGTGCATTTGCATGCCACTGTTGCAGGCTCTACCAAGACAATGACACTTTCTGCGCTGTGAAAAAGCCAGTATTTTAAAATGTTCACATTTTGCCATGACAAGTAAACCTAGGCCTAACACCATTAGCTAGGTAAGTTCTTCCTTGTGCTCCACTAC